TCACCTGGTGAATGCCAAATCAGGCACAGGAGCATCAATGGGGAACAGAGAAAGAGGAATGCAGCCTGGAGCCAATTGGGAAATTGACTTCACTGAGGTAAAGCCCAGGCTCTGTGGCTACAGGTACCTATTGGTCTTTATAGATACTTTTTCAGAATAGACTGCAGCTTACCCTACCAAGAATGAGACAGCCACTGTTGTGCCCAAGAAATTTCTAGAAGATATCATCCCAGGTATGGACTTCCTGTCTTATTAGGCCCAGACAATGGACCTGCCTTTCTCTCTCAGGCAACCCAAAAGATAGTTAAGGTCATGTAGACAAACTGGAAGCTTCATTGTATCTACGGCCTCCAGAGTTCAGGTAAAGTAGAAAGAATAAATCGGACCCTACAGGAGACCTTAACTAAATTAACCCCTGAGACTGGCGGTAACTGGGTATCTCTCCTTCCCTTCACTCTTTTTTGGATTTGCAATTCTCCTTACACCCTGAACTTAACCCCATTCGAGATAATGTATGCCAGACCCCCACCCTTATTACCAACCTTAAGGCAGAATTGTTAGCTGAATTTGATGACCAAAGATTTCTTTCATCCCTACAAGTCTTGTTCCAGCTGCAGAAGCAGCTTTGGCCCCTGTGGCAGCATTAGGCTACACCTGGCCTGGCTCCAGAGAGCAGCACCTAGCCCTACTCCGTCTTTTGTTTAGCAGACACCCTTTGTTTCTCTTGTCACCTTTGTGACACTCTTGACACCCTGTGAACCTTGTCTGAGAGTTTCCCAAGGATGCAAAGGCCTATGCAAAACTTGCTTAGGGAAACTTGGAAAACTGTGGTACCTGATGAATCCAGAAATTTGCACATGGCATTGCATTTTCGGGATCTTTTTTTCAGGTTGTTTTGAACATATGGAAATCAACTGGCTAAAGTATAAATATGGAGAAAAATAAAAATGCTCTGGGTGAAGGGAAAGGCCTTCAGTCCTTAGAGGGTGGATTCCCCTGCAGCCCTGAAAGACTTAAGCCTCTATGTGTTTACTTGGGACCAAGAACTGTGGGAGGGAAAGATTCATCCTACCACAGGGCCAGGCAGAGCCAGAGAAACCTTCTGGCTACATGCAACTCCATGAGGCACAGAAATAGTGTATCCTCCCATCCCCTCCCACCCCATGTTCCCCTCCCTATGTCCCCCCACCACCACCACAGGTCCTCTTTTGAGTTTTAGTCAGATCATGTCCAGGACAAACATAGAAATGGTGGAAATGTTCTTAAGGCGCCTCTGAGTCTTCATTCAGTGGACCCGTGTGAACCCAGACACCCGAGCCCCAACAGGCTATCAATGTGCTATCAATGAGAAGGCACCTCTGCCTGCTCCTCACAGGTTCCAGCTGGGGGGACTTGGTGATTATCAAAAGACACCTGAAGGAGACCTTGGAGCCTGGCTGGAAGGGACCCTACACCGTCATCCTGACAATGCCCATGGCTGGATACACCACTCCCATGTGAAAGCCGACCCTGAGTACTACGCCCTGGAGGCCCACCCTGGACTGTGGAGGACCATGACACACCCACAGGTGTCATGACACACCCTCTCAGATTAAGAATCCAGAAAGTGGCCAGGGGTGGTGGCGCACGCCTTTAATCCCAGCACTCGGGAGGCAGAGGCAGGCGGATCTCTGTGAGTTCCAGGCCAGCCTGGGCTACCAAGTGAGTTCCAGGAAATGGGCTCCCTCCTATGCTTCTTCAGTTGCCTTGGTTTATGTCTGCTGGGGTTTTCCAGTCAGACCCCTGCAGGGCGCCCAAACCCCCATCAGCCCTTTCACCTTACCTGGAAGGTCACTGGCGCAGATGGGGAGGTCTTGAATCAAACCTCCCACTCTGCCCCCTTAGGGAGTCGGTTTCCTGATCTATACTTTGACTTGGGGGCCCTCTTAGCAACTTATTATTCTGACTCACAGCTGTGACAACATTTCCACCATTTCCATGTTTGTCCTGGACATGATCTGACTAAAACTCAAAAGAGAACCTGTGGGGGGGACATGGGGAGGGGAACACGGCGTGGGAGGGGATGGGAGGATACACTATTCCTGTGCCTCATGGAGTTGTATGTAGCCAAAAGGTTTCTCTGGCCCTGCCTGGCCCTGTGGTAGGACAAATCTTTCCCTCCCACAGTTCTTGGTCCCAAGTAAACACATAGAGGCTTATATTATTCACAAACGATATGACCTATGGGTCAGGCTTCTTGCTAACTAGCTCTTATATCTTAAATCAACCAATTTCTATTAATCTATGCACTGCCACGTGGCTTTGTGGCTTACCAGTACTTTTACATCTTGCTTCTCCTGGCAGTGGCTCCCAGACTCCACCTTTCTCTTTCCTGTCTCTCTTGGACTTCCCACCTGCCTCTAAGCTGCCTTGCCATAGGCCAAATCAGCTTATTTATTAACCAATGGGAACAGCATATATTCACAGCCAGAAAGACATCCCCCAGCAGCTGCTTCTTCATAGACTACACCTGGTGGAAGGCCCCTAAGAGCGGGAGGTCTTATCAAAGTAAAAAGGGCAAGGGAACCACCCTGCCAACCTGATGGGCATGTAGCCCAGCACTGATCCAGTTCACTGAGCCTGGTAAAAAGGCCTTGAGTTGGACATTAGGGGAAACCTGGGGTCTAAGGATGTATGACAAAGAGAGAACAGTATGAGAGGATTTAGGGGCATTGTTTACCCTACAACTAGACATCCATGAAAGTCCCTGGGTCCTAGTAAGGTGATGGTCCCCATTAGGCACTGACAGGACCTTACCCTGGGACCTAGGACAACCAGACCCTGGCCATTGACAGATAGAATCACCCTCACCAGAAAGGCTGCCCCAACAGACCTACCCCCCAATCGAGGACCTTTAAATCTTTCAAAAGCTAAAACCTGCTGGCTTGTCCTGGATGCAAAAACCCCCTCTTAGAAAGAGATTGCAATAATGGGAGATAATACCGACTCCTGGGCCATCCAGTCATGCAGATGGTAACAATCAGGCAAACGGAGGCTCATATTGCAGTCTGTGACTGGGAATGGTGTCTGCATAGGCCGGCCCCCACCAAATCATGTCTCTCTCTGCATATGAGACTCCGAGTCCAACAGGGACGGGGTAATAACACTCAGGATTTCTGTGTTCTTGGTGCAGTTAGTCCCCAGGATCACCTATTATCCCGAGGAGGAGATTTTTCTATTGGCTAGAACTACCAGAACTACCCTTGGCCTGGCCGGGGCTATAGGTACTGGAACATCGGTTCTTGTTCTCCAGGACTAGAACTATATAGAGCCTTAAGAGTGGCTATAGATGTTGACATAGCCACTCTGGAAAAAAAATCTATCACCCACCTAGAGGAGTTCCTCTCTTCCTTGGCAGAAGCAGGTACTCCAGAATAGTTTCACTTTAAGATGACAAGCGTATCAGCCAAGGATGAGAGATGATGTTACATGAAGATGGGACTTGGGGGCCTGGTGAAGCCTTCTCTCAGAGCCCTGGGAAAAGAGCAGTCAGCAGGTATGGAAAACAACATTGAGGGCAGTCATTTGACCTTTTAGACACACACGGTGGGGGCAGTGAAGGCTCCATCAGTCGTTCACCTGCTATTCAAAACAGAGCCAAGATCTCGAGGAACAGACAGCAGAGGGTCTGGGCAAGCTTGGGTCACACTGATTTGGGTGTTTAGGAGAAGGCGGAACCTTTGTCCTCAGCTCCCTGTTTCCCGCGACTCCGCTTCTGCAGCTACACCAGCCCAGGGGCCGCCTCCTTCCCCTTCCCCGGGGGCCTGTCCGGATGAGTTCCGGAGTTTGGGACTCCGAATTATCCCCAAACCACGGCGAGCGAACTCCCCGGTAACCGAGGCCAGTTTCTCCAAC